GGTAATTAGACAAAAAAAATGATGCTCTTTCTACTCTTTGTAGCCTTTCCTATCATTCTTATCTTTCTTCTTCTCAAAGTCAAAAAGAGTGGCAAAAACAATGTGCCACCAGGTCCCATTGGCCTCCCATTCATTGGAAATTTGCATTAATTTGATAGTTTAACCACTCATATTTATTTTTGGAAACTTTCCAAGAAATATGGAAAAATATTCTCATTGAAACTTGGTTCTACTCCAATGATCGTTGTTTCTTCAGCAAAATTAGCAAAAGAAGTGTTGAAGACACAAGATTTAGTATTTTGTAGTAGACCTTCTATTCTTGGCCAACAAAAAATGTCTTACAATGGTCATGACATAGTGTTTGCGCGTTACGATGACTATTGGAGAGAAACGAGAAAAATTAGTGTGCTTCATCTGTTCAGTCTAAAGAAAGTACAATTCTATAAACCAATTCGTGAAGATGAAGTATCAAGAATGATAAAGAAAGTATCCCAACAAGCTGCTTCTTCTCAAATTACAAATTTGAGCAATTTAATGATTTCACTGACAAGTACAATTATATGTAGACTTGCTTTTGGTGTTAGGTTTGACGATGAAGCACATGAAAGGAAGAGATTTGATTATCTTTTAGCTGAGGCTCAAGCTATGATGGCTAGCTTTTGCGTGTCTGATATTTTTCCTTTTTTATATTGGATTGATAAACTTATTGGATTGATAGACTCGAGACGAATTTCAAGGAATTGGATGAGTTTTATGAAGAACTCATTGAGCAACATCAAAATCCCAATAGGCCAAAATCCATGGAAGGTGATATGGTTGATCTTTTGCTTCAATTGAAGAAAGATAAATCAATACCAATTGATCTCACTTTGGAGGACATAAAAGGACTTCTCATGGTAATTTCACATGTCTCTAAGTCAATACATTGCAATTTTAAAGATAATTCGAAAGCTATTTTAATTAATTATTTTCCTGTATATAGGATATGTTAGTTGCTGGATCAGATACTAGCGCGGCTGGGATAGTATGGACAATGACTGCCTTGATGAAGAATCCAAAAGCCATGAAGAAAGTTCAACAAGAAATCAGAGAGTCAATTGGGAACAAAGGCATTGTGAATGAAGATGATATACAAAATATGCCTTATTTCAAAGCAGTGATAAAAGAGACATTTAGACTATATCCGCCAATTCCACTTCTAGTGCCAAGAGAATCAATGAAAAAATCCACACTAGAAGGGTATGAAATTCAGGCTGGAACTATAGTTCATGTTAATTCATGGGCAATTGCAAGGGACCCTGAAATATGGGAAAATCCAGAAGAATTTATACCCGAGAGATTTCTGAATAGCGACATTGATTACAAGGGACAAAACTATGAGTTGATTCCATTTGGAGCAGGTCGAAGAGGTTGCCCTGGAATGACACTTGGGGTTGCATCAATGGAACTTGGATTATCAAATCTTCTTTATGCATTTGATTGGGAGTTACCTCATGGGATGAAAAAAGAGGACATTGACACAAATGTTAGTCCTGGAATTGCCACACATAAGAAAAATGAGCTTTGTCTTATCCCTGGAAGTTATTTTTAGATTTTACTTAGATGTGAATCTAAGTCGTGATAATAAATTGTAACGATTTTAAATCTTGAATAAATCACATACCCTCCTTCTATTTTGATATTCTTCACCTTATAACCCCTTTAGTCATGAATTTTTTTATTCCAATAAAATACTTTGTTGAATTACTTTAAAATAAGTTTCAGATGTCCATAAGACATCATTACATCCGTTACAACACAACTTGGGAAGGCAAAATCCCAAGAAATCCTATTTATACATGAAATAGAACTTTTTGATAGATTATGGGCTAATACATTTCATGTTCGTGGAATATATATGATCTTGATTTCCTCAAAAGATTTCATCAATTGCCAGCCATCCTTGCAAATGGTCTCTATTTCCCAAGATGTTATAAAATTCTTTTGCAACATTTGTATAACATTCTTTGCATCTGACAGTATGTGGACCTTTGACCAACCCTTTTAAATCGCTGCGATTTATAATTTTTTTTAAAAAAATATGTAAATCGCTGCGATTTTCCACATTATCTTATAAAATTGTTGCTTTAAAAAAATCTTTTTTTAAAAAAATTTCCACATTGTTTCTACATTTTTTTAAAGAAAAAAATTTAAAAATTAAAAAAAAATAAATTATACAAGTCGCTGCTCAGGCAGCGACTTTGCACATTTCAATTTTTCTTTTTATAAAAGTCGCTGCCTGGGCAGCGACTTCCACATTTTTAAAAAAAAATTCTTTTTTTAAAAATCGCTGCCTAGGCAGCGATTTTCCTTAAATAAAAAAATTAAAAATTATAAATCACTGCCTAGGCAGCGACTTTTTTTTATAAAATAAATCAAAATCGCTGCCTAGGTAGTGATTTCATTTTTTTTAAAAAAAAATTCACATTTTGCAAAATCGCTGCCTCAGCAGCGATTTTGCTTTTTCCGGGGAAGTAAATCGCAGCGATTTTGCCGTTTTGATTAATATAAAATTTTATATACCGTTTTAAAATTTTTGTTAATATTTTGTACCCTTTAAGCTCCGCACTCATGATAACAATATATTGTTTGAACAAAAGCTACGGAGTATATAACTGAATGTGTATATAGACTTTGTTGGAGTCTCACATCAGGGGTATTAGAGGTTGTCCTTGATCCCCTTATATGATTTTGAGTAATCTTTCCCTTCTGAACAAGTTTTTAGGATTGAGTTAGGTCTGATATTTATTTCTTTATCATTATATCAAAGTAATATTAATTTCAATTTATTATTTCGTTGTTGAACCTTCCATTTTTTTTTATATATATTGTACATTCTCCAGATGTTCAATCATAAGCATACCCCCGCTTCGATGGGATTAGGGCTACTTATTTTCCTTTTATGGTCTTTATTAAGTCCCATACTCGTAAGCTAGGGAAAATATCACCTACTAAGCAAACTCATAAATATATTAACATAACCTTTGAAACACATTTCCAGTTCCATATTAATATTCCGACTTCATATCATATACAAGTGGTTACCAAAAAAAAAAATCATTTTGAAAAATTCTCTACAAGTGCCATTTTAAATCATTTAAGTTGTGTTAAAAATGAAAAGGTTAAACAGTTTAATACAAGGTCTATAAATAGAAATATATTTGAGATATATATAATATCATATAACTAGGAAAAAATATGATTATGATAATTCTTATAGTCCTTGTAACTCCAATTGTACTCAATTTTCTAGCCAAAAAAAGGTAGGAAAAATGATATTGCATTTGCGCCTTACATTGACTATTGGAAAGAAATGCAAAAAGTTTGTGTTGTTCATTTGTTCAGTCTAAAAAAATTTCGATTTTTTAGTCTGAACCGTGAAGATGAAGTATCAAGAATGATCACGAAAATATCTTAATCAGCAACTGCTTCCCAAATTACAAATTTGAGTAATTTAGCGATTTCACTAACAAGTATAATATTTATAAAGTAGTGTTAGGTATGATGAAGAAGCACGTGAGAAGAGGAGATTTTTTTAAAAAAAATATATTTTTTATAATTATTAAATTAAATTATAAATTATAATTTAAAAATATTATCATAAATATCAACAAAACAATAGTATATGATGTTACTATTACTACTTGTTAATCAAAATCCACAAATGAAAATTATCTTTATAATATTTATTAAGTTTTTTCAAATTAAAATATAAATATCAAAACAGAAATATTAACCTGATTGTTTTGAGTTTGGACTCTTTTAATTTTTAAATTTTAATTAATTTATATTGGCCCATCGACCGACCCTATCGATACTTTTCAAGCCTCACAAAGCAGCAGACTTATTTAGACCGGCTAAAAAAACTATTTTCTTGAATAGACTACAAGAATCTTAGTCAGCCCTATTAAATTCCAATTTAGGCCAGGCCAGCCCAACTGAGCTAGTCCATATTAACGATTCTATTAGGAGGACGTATCAGATGAGATGTATAAGAATAATATTATTTAATTATTTACATATGAATTAGCATAATTAAACTTTGTTTCTTATTTTCTACTACAAATAAATATTGCAATAATAAGGTCAAATTGGCCTATGATCCGTACTTATTGTTTAGCCTATTTTTGTTCAGTCTATTTTAATTTAAAGTGAAACTTCAGATTTGATCAACGAAATATTTATTAATATAATCTATTTTAATTCGTTCAGATTTACACAAATCGTCCATATGTCACTACAGAAAAGATTCATATTTGTCTTCTTACTTTCAGAAAAAGAATATAGTTATGATTAGTAATCTTATATCTAGTACTAAGTTATGCGGCAGATAAATATTTGGAAAACATAATTGCTAAAGGAGAAAGGTAATTATTTAAGGATCTTTACATAAATAATCAGATGAATTTATTGATTCTTCTAGACGTAGATTATCCCTCGTTATACACATACTATTATATCCATAGATATTTTCAATTTAAATTATTAGGTAGATGAATATTTAAATTAATTCACTAATTTTAATATAAGTTATTGACAACAACTATGATTGATTTCTTTTGATTTTGTCGTGTTACTTTAATGAATCGTGATTTGACATGTCATATTTTCCATTTTGTAACTATATATTATATGGTTGTGAAATGATCTTACATAGAAACAACACATGAGTAAGTACATTTGCGTAAAAAGTTAAAATTCTTGAATTGTGGTGAAAAAGCATCTAGTACCTAACTAGCTCCATGAAATATCAAGCTATAAACAAGCAAAATTAGTAGTTAAGCAAAGAAGAAAAAAAAACTATTCTTACAAAATGATATCTAAGGGATAGCTTTGAAAAAATTAGAACCTATCCTTCGAAAAAAAATAGTCTCATGTATAATATATGTATATTAATTAACGATTGTGAGTAGCTTTCATCGAGAATCAAAATATGTAACTTCCCCTTAATATTATCCTATATGTTTAGGTCATGACCTGAAAATTTTACATTGTTGGGTGTGGAAATTATACTCTTCAAGAAATTTTTTTTGATGACTTTATTAAGTCTTTTAATACAAGATAGATTTATATAAAGACACAACAAGTTATTACCAAGGTAATTAGACAAAAAAAAATGATAATCTTTCTACTCTTTGTAACCTTTCCTATCCTTCTTATTTTTCTTCTTTCCAAAGCCAAAAAGAGTAGCAAAAACAATGTGCCTCCAGGTCCTATTGGCCTCCCATTCATTGGAAATTTGCATCAATTTGATAGTTTAACCACTCATATTTATTTTTGGAAACTTTCCAAGAAATATGGAAAAATATTCTCATTGAAACTTGGTTCTACTCCAATGATCGTTGTTTCTTCAGCAAAATTAGCAAAAGAAGTGTTGAAGACACAAGATTTAGTATTTTGTAGTAGACCTTCTTTTCATGGCCAACAAAAATTGACTTACAATGGTCGTGACATAGTATTTGTGCGTTACAATGACTATTGGAGAGAAATGAAAAAAATTAGTGTGCTTCATCTATTCAGTCTAAAGAAAGTACAATTCTATAAACCAATTCGTGAAGATGAAGTATCAAGAATGATAAAGAAAGTATCCCAACAAGCTGCTGCTTCTCAAATTACAAATTTGAGCAATTTAATGATTTCGCTGACAAGTACAATTATATGTAGACTTGCTTTTGGTGTTAGGTTTGACGATGAAGCACATGAAAGGAAGAGATTTGATCATCTCTTAGTTGAGACTCAAGCTATGATGACTAGCATTTTCGTGTCTGATATTTTTCCTTTTTTATATTGGATTGATAAACTTACTGGATTGACAGATAGACTCGAAAAACTTTTTAAGGAATTGGATGAGTTTTATGAAGAACTCATTGAGCAACATCAAAATCCCAATAGGCCAAAATCCATGGAAGGTGATATGGTTGATCTTTTGCTTCAATTTAAAAAAGAGAAATCAATACCAATTGATCTCACTTTGGAGGACATAAAAGGACTTCTCATGGTAATTTTACATGTCTTAACTCGATATATTGCTATTTTTAAGATGATTCGATAGCTATTTTTATTAAAAAAAATTTACTTGTATATAGAATGTGTTAGTTGCTGGATCGGATACTAGCGCGGCTGGGGTAGTATGGACAATGACAGCCTTGATGAAGAATCCAAAAGCCATGAAGAAAGTTCAACAAGAAATCAGAGAGTCAATTGGGAACAAAGGCATTGTGAATGAAGATGATGTACAAAACATGCCTTATTTCAAAGCAGTGATAAAAGAGACATTTAGATTATATCCGCCAATTCCACTTCTAGTGCCAAGAGAATCAATGAAAAATTCCACACTAGAAGGGTATGAAATTCAGGCCGGAACTATAGTTCATGTTAATTCATGGGCAATTGCAAGGGACCCTGAAATATGGGAAAATCCAGAAGAATTTATACCCGAGAGATTTTTGAATAGCGACATTGATTACAAGGGACAAAACTATGAGTTAATTCCGTTTGGAGCAGGTCGAAGAGGTTGCCCCGGAAAGACACTTGGGGTTGCATTCATGGAACTTGCATTATCAAATCTTCTTTATGCATTTGATTGGGAATCACCTCATGGGATGAAAAAAGAGGACATTGACACAAATGTTAGGCGTGGAATTACCCCGTATAAGAAAAATGAGCTTTGTCTTATCCCTACAAGTTATTTTTAGATTTTTCTTAGATGTGAATTCTAAGACGTGATAATAAATTGTATCAATTTTAAATTTTGAATAAAACACAGACCCTCTGATATTCTTCACCTTATAACCCTTTAGTCATCCACTAAGTTTATTTTACACTATTCATAATTTTTTTTATTTCAGAAAAATACTTTATTGCATTACTTTAAAACAAAGTTCAAATGTTCATAAGACACCATTGCATCCGTTATAACACAACTTGAGAAGTGCTTTAATAGAGCACTATGACATAACATTTCATAAAACCTCAGCAAAGGTTCAGGTACCTGAAAATGATATTGTATTGGAATCGATATCAAAATGACCGTCCACGGTATATTTGATATGAAGTAGGACTCAATGCTATAAATGGTTACAAGGATCTTTAATTTGAATCTGTCATATTAGCCAAATAAAAGGCGAAATAGTCTGATTGACCCTCATACTTGTATCAGTTTGTATTCTGGACCATTCTACTTAATCTTTTGTTCAACTAAACCCTTAGACTTAATTAAAACGAGATTTTTAAGCCCCTCTAACCATTGTATAGTTCACTCTCCTTTAAATAAATGAATGTCATATCCACGTCAGATATATTAACGCCATGTCATAATTATTTCATAAGAAAGATATATGAACGTTTTGGCGATATTCTTAAAAAAAAATGAAAAACATTTTGGAGAAAATCGTTCGTGGATCAACGATTTTTAATTTAACGGGAGAAACGGCGTGAAAACAAAATCGCTACTAGTGTATTATTTGTCAATATATAATTAGTATGATTATTACAAAAAATTGTGTGGAAGGTCCAAATTTTGAACAATGAAATGAATATAACTCTTAAAAAGTTGTAAGGTTAATATTATTGAGAAATTGTTATTCTATAGGCAAATTTTGGAGTGCTTCACTTTTGACATGTTTTGGCCATGTGTAATGTAAAGGATGTACATTCATGAGTTGTAGTTCTCATCAAGTCATATGTGGACGTTATTGCTCATACAAGTCCCAATGGAAAAACAATTAAATTACACTCTTTTATAAGTTCCAATACGGAAGGAAAATATAAAAGATTTATGGTACATAATCTTATCATGGTTGACGAATACCCTATTGGTTCAATTACTTATACATATAGAATCTAAAAAAAATATATTTGATATTTAATTATTGCAAATAGTCGTAAGAGATCATTTAGAGCCTATTTGGCTCAGCTTAAAAGCTGGTCAAACCGACTTAAAAGCTGGTTTTTGACTTATTTAACTGTTTGGCAATACTCAAAATAACTTATTTTAAGTTTAAAAAATTTATTTTAAGCCAAAAGTTAAAAGTTGGGGTAGGGGTGCTTTTTTTTTAGCTTATAAGCTGTTTTAAGTTGACCACATTTTTATCTTTTTGTCCTTAATATTTTTATACAATTTCTAAATTACACATATAACCCTAACATCTCTTTCTTCCATTTTCTCCTTTTCACGTTTGGCATAACAATTTCAGCACTTTTATCCAAACGCATAACTGCTTATTTTAAAAATAAATTTCAGCACTTTCATAAGTACTTTTTTAAAGCTGCTTTTATTAAGCCCATCCAAACGGGCCCTTAGCACCCCATATGTGCAACTTAAATAAATTTTAAAAAATATACATTTTTTTATTTCCACATTTGATACATTTCACCTATTGTGAACTTATTCACTACATATACTCTTTGGCTAATGCTATCTAATCTATGCTGACAAATGTTTTGAAATGTGTAAAATATCATTTTCGACTTAATATATATTTAGACGTTTTAAGTGGCCATTATTTTGTGAAGTTGGACAACAAAATGATGCTCTTTCTCCTCTTTGTAGCACTTTCAATATTTCTTATTTTTCTTCTTCCTAAAGCTAAAAAGAGTGTCAAAAACAATCTCCCACCTGGTCCTATAAGCCTTCCATTCATTGGAAATTTGCATCAATATGATAGTTTAACCCCTCATATCTATTTTTTGAAACTTTCCAACAAATATGGAAAAATCTTTTCATTGAAATTTGGTTCTACTCCAATAGTTGTAATCTCTTCAGCAAAATTAGCAAAAGAAGTAATGAAGACACAAGATTTAGTATATTGTAGTAGACCTTCTCTTCTTGGTCAGCAAAAATTGTCTTACAATGGTCATGATATTGCCTTTGCGCCTTATAATGACTATTGGAGAGAAATGAGAAAAATATGTGTTCTTCATTTATTTAGTCTCAAGAAAGTGCAATCTTTTTGTCCAATTTGCGAAGATGAAGTCTCAAGAATGATCAAGAAAATATCTCAACAAGCTGTTGATTCTCAAATCACCAATTTGAGCAATTCAATGATTTCACTTACTAGTGCAATTATTTGTAGAGTTGTTTTTGGTGTTAAGTTTGATGAAGAAACACATGAGAGGAAGAGATTTGATTATCTTTTACCCGAAGTTCAAGCTATGTCCGTTAGCTTTTTTATGTCTGATTATTTTCCTTCTTTTAAGTTGGATTGATAAACTTACTGGACTGACTGATAGACTTGAGAAAAATTTTCAAGATTTGGATGAGTTTTACGAAGAACTCATTGAGCAACATCAAAATCCCAATAGGCCAAAATCCATGGAAGGAGATATTCTTGATCTTTTGCTTCAATTAAAGAAAGAGAAATCAACTCCGATTGATCTCACATTGGATGGTATCAAAGGAATACTCATGGTAATTTTCCATGTGTTTTGATCTTTTATATTTTGCATTTCTAAAGAAAAAAAATGAAACTATTCCTAATTTTTTCTTCCAAATTTATGCAGAATGTGTTTGCTGCTGGATCGGACACTAGGGCAATGACAGCCTTAATGAAGAATCCAAAAATCATCAAGAAGGTCCAAAAAGATATTAGAGAAACAATTGGGACCAAAGGTATTGTGAATGAAGATGATATTCAAAATATGTCTTATTTCAAAGCAGTAATAAAAGAGACATTTAGATTATATCCACCTTCTCCACTCCTAATACCAAGAGAAACAATGAAAAAATCCACACTAGAAGGCTATGAAATTCAACCAGGAACTATAATTCATGTGAACTCTTGGGCAATTGCACGGGATTCTGAAATATGAGAAAATCCAGAAGAATTTATACCTGAGAGATTTTTGAATAGTAATATCGATTTTAAAGGCCAACATTTTGAGTTGATTCCATTTGAGGTTGTCCAGGGATTACACTTGGGGTTGCATCTATGGAACTTGCATTATCAAATCTTCTTTATGCATTTGATTGGGAATTACCTTATGGATGAAAAAAGAGGACATTGACACATTTGTTAAGCCTGGAACCACTATGCATAGGAAAAATGATCTCTGTCTTATCCCTAAAATCCAAATTATTTAGATGAGTTCTTTGAGGTCATCTAAATCTATCATTGCTTTGGACTCGAATTATGTATATATTAAATTAACCTCTTTTGGTATATAAGAAATTTTCCTTTTACTTTTCCATTACTACTTTGTTTATATCACACTATTCAATTAGCTAGAATCTTAATGGTTAAGCTGATTAATCTATATTAAAATTTTATTTAGTTATTTTCAGTAGTTAATTTATTTAGCCCGTATCATATCTAACATTTAACCTTCAATTAATTGAAATGAAATTTTAGTTTGATCCTTCTTTTCAAATTTAACAACAAATTATATACCACCACATCATTTAGTTACCTATACTTTATAATCAAGTTTGTGTTGTTATAATTCTAAGAAATAGTTTAAATATAACATATCTATTTCTATATAAAAGGTAAAAACACACACAAGTCAATTAATTAAAAATAAAATATACTTAATCATATCTTACAAGTTTCAAGATTTAAAAGTTATCCATAATTGAGGATTAATTAGATGTGCCATTTTTCCCTACAATATATTAATTAATTCGCCTTATGTAATATACTTTTGTTCCTTTGTATTTGTCATGATAAGGCTTAGCCGCTATATATATAAATAATCTTTGTCTGAAATAATGATATCTAAATATTTAAGCTACCTTAGTATATTTGAAAGTTTGCATAATATTGATTGCTAGCTAGAGGACAGACATATTTTATGAAAAATATATTGCCATTTTTCCACCACTAACATTTGGTCCCATTTCAGGACTTTCTTGTTTTCCAATAATATAGAGACAGAGTTAGGTAAAATTTATGAGTTCAGATGAATTAAATTAATATTTTTTTTTAAATTTTATAATTATATCAGAAAATTAAATAAATATATGTACATTAGCAAATGAACTCTTAAATTAAAATTGATTTAGAATCTTCAAACTTCTGACATTAACTCTGCCACTGTTAATATATATGTATTCAATGGCTAACTAAGGTTATGTCACATCACTTATATAAAATCAATGGTGGCTATTTATTTGATACTAAAATACAAATAATAATACACTATCAGTTTCTCTATTCAACCTCACTCTTTTGTTGCCACTTGGCACCATAAATTGTCTTTCACGTCGGTGATATTCTATCTAGATATTTGAATTAAGTTTTATTTTAATTAAATATTTTAAATTTTAATAATCAATTTTAATTTTCAATTCAAATTTTAATTTTTTTAGGTGAAATTTCATTCTCTTATTATTTCCTTTAATACTATGCATTTGTCAGCTCGTTAAACCATAAAACTTCAAACATTTTCTATTTTACATCGAAAATATTTATCTTTCTATCAAACTGTACACCCTTATTTGTTTGTAATAATTTATCAATGAATCGAAACCGTTGAATTACATATAGATGATGTGGCATAATCTTAGGTAACCATTAAACAATGCTGGAGAGGATGTGATTTTATAAATGCAATGTCCACTTTGTCTGCTGTGAATTTATAGTTTTTTCGTAAAAATGAAATATTTTTATATAATAATTTTTAAAATTCGTATAAATTATCTGAAATCATAATAAAAGAAAATAAAGAATCCACTTGATCGAATGTTGTTGCTCTATAAATGTATAACTCCTTTTCTTCCTCCTTTTAGTATTCATCTTATTAAGGATTTACATTATTAATTTAATATAGCGCTTACTGACATATATAGAAAG